TTATTTCTCGATACAACTTTATAATACACAGAATTTATACAGTCACTTTAACTTAAACACACGCTTTAATTCACAACGATCCACGCACTTTACTACTGCGCTTGACTCAATTGTCCATCTCTGTCTGTCTGCAATTATTTATATATCTATGCCGTCACTTCTCGCAGGTCTTATATACTATAAGAGCGCATGTCTAGCAAATGCTAGCGTCGGTAGTAAGTAGTACAATCCTAATATGCATTGGTCTTCAATATCAGCCAAGTATACTTTCTGTCTGTCCTTCATGCCTATGAGCTCAATAGTTACCCACACTGGTCCCCACAACCTTGCAGAATATCCTGTCACACCGCAGAACTTCTGTATAGCATCTGGTACTCCTCTTTGATCCAGTATCTTGATACTCACAAGGGTATGCTGAGATGCAGAATCTATGACAAAGTTGCACCCTTGGCCATCCAGCTTTCCTGGCACGTAGACAATATGTGTGTTTGGCATTTTACACTTAGCTGTTGGGACTTTCACAATTGGGGTTGGTAGGCACGAACCACTACTGGTCTCCCAGAGACTGACTTATTGGTAATATTCTTCTTACACTGGCTCCTCATATGTCATTGCTCTCCACAGTTCCAACAACCTTTCTGGGTAGCAGCCTTTCCTGCCTTGGCATCTTCCCTGTGTTGAAGTTTCCAACATTGAGCTTTCTTGTACCCAGGTTTGTTACAGTGCCAGCAAAGTCCCTCAAACTTCTCTGAAAGCTGACCTTTTCTGGCTTTGAATCCTGATGCCTGTACCAACCTTGGTACCTCTGTTCCGGACTTAACATAGGATTCAAATTCAAGAGCTCTGGCCATTGCATCCTGCATAGCAGAGGGTACTTGCTTGACTTGAATCTTCAGTTGTGGACTGTCCAAGGCATCTACAAACTGATCCCTCAGCAACAACTTGAAAACATTGGGTGGCGCAGTTGGGTAGGCATTGTGTGCCATACTTTCTAACTCCTGTGGCAGCCCTCTCCTTTAGCACGGACTCTCGTCCTAAACCTAATCCTGTAGACTTTGGACAGATTTTGGGTTCCATACCTGAGTTCTAGAGCAGCTACCAGTGCTCTATAGTTGTGCCT